GCCAGGGTCTCCCAAGCCGAGGCTCCTCGGAGCAGGACTGGGCCCCCGAGCGCTGAGCGGGGCTGCCCGGGAACAGCCAACCACCCCTGGAGCCACAGACCGGCCTCCCTTGGTCTCTTCGGCGTCCAAACAGCCCCAAAGCCCCAGGAAAGCTGCCCCCCACCCGCCCCTTCCGAGCGCCCAACCCCTCGCGGCTCCCAGGAGCTTCCCGGGCCACCTTCGTCAGAACCCCGCTCGACACGCCTTTCCCGTGCAGCCCGGCAAGCCCGGAGCCCGGAGGCGGCCGCAGCAGCAGCAGCAGGCAGGGGGGCAGCCAAGGGAGAGGCGGCGTCGGAGGGGCGCGCGGGGCCGGGGGGGGGGGATGCAGGCCTCGCGGGGAACGGAGAGCCTTGCTTACCCGCCTCGGAGATCCGCGCTAGGAGCCCCTCGCCCGCCTCCGTAGCGCCGCCGCCGCCGCCGCCGAGAGGAGCCGGGAGTGAAGCCTCCGCGCCGCCGCCGCGCCTCTTGAAGAGCCGGGGCGGCGCGGGGTGACGTCGCCGGCAGCGCTGCTCTCAGACGGAGGCCCGCCCCCGCAAGGCGTCCTCCCCCCCCACCCCGCCCCTGGGGGAAGGGAGACCCCTTGGAGACCTTCCACAGCATTCGCCCCCTCCGCCGAGCCCCCCGACGACCGAGGCGGCGGCAGGGAGGCAGCACCGCCCAGGGCCTCCCTGGAGACGAAGCGCGGCCCGGCTTCCTCCCCTCCCGGCCTGCCCTGCTGGCCCTCGGGGGAGCCGCTCTCGGGAAGCCGGGAAGCCCCGGCAGGAGCCGCCTGCGGGCTGAGGCGGTGGCCGCGGGGCGGCTCGGCGTCCCTTCCCTTCGCCTGGAGCGGTGAAGCCCCGACGACTCGCCCCGCCGTTGGACACGCGACCCCCGAGGGCCCCGTCGCCTGAGGAGTTCCCCCGACGGGCTGGCTTGGCGGGGAGCCAAACGTGGGGAGGGAAGTCAACCTCGACTGAGAAGGGAGGAGATACGGGAAGGAGACGCGTGTCTTGACAACCCACGACCACCTCCAAGCATCAGAGTCCTCCCTGGAGGTGGGGAACGGCAGGCTCGGTTCATCCCAGCCTCCCGAGGCGGCCCACGCGGCTCCGGGCTCCGGGCTGGGCCTCCGGGCGCTCCCCTTCTCTGGAGGAGGAGGAGGAGACCGAAGGGGCCTCGGGAGCAAAAGAGGGAACCAGAAGACCAGGCTCCCCCCGCACCGCTCCCCCAACCCAGGTGCACCTGCCTCTCCCTCCTCCGAGGTCATTCAGGACCCCCGTCCGAAGCGAGGTCTGGGGACGCAGCTTCGAGGGGCGCAGGGCGACCCAGCCTGCCCGGCCTTCTTGCGCTCTTCGGACACGGGACGCGGCAGGCGAGCTCTGGGACCAATAAGCCCCGCCGCCTCTAGCAGAAGCCCCCGGCCGTCCCCGGCAGACACCCCCCCCCAGGCACCCCGGGTCTCCGGAAAGCTCTTCTGGGGAGGCCCTGCTGGGCGGGGGGGGGGGGCGGCCCTTCTCGGGGCGAGGCTTTCCCTTCCCAGGCCGGCCCCTCCTGCTTGGGAGAGAGAGACGGGCCGGGCTCCGCGTCTGCCTCGGACGTGTCCAGCAACCCAAGGCGGCTCCCCGCTTTGTTCCGCCGCCCCCTCGGGGCTCCTTAGCCGGGAAGCGCCTCGGCCTTTAATGCTAATTAGGGCGTCTTCGTCTCGCCGAAGCCTCGGCGGGCACCTCGGGGCCGTGGACGGGGACGCTGCTCCGGCGTGCCATGGACCCCCTTGCCCTCGGGGGCTCTCCGTCGGCACCCCCAAAACGCTCGGCCCAGAAGGCCCCCTCCCCGGAGGAAAAGCCCCCGTCTCCCCCGCTCCCCTCCCCTGCGGCTCCACCCAGTCGACAGTCCCACCCTTGCTGGGCTGCTGCTCCTGCGGGCTCCCCCTTCTGCTCCCGGACAAGGGCCTGGGGTCTCTTTCGGGTCCCTTTCCCCGCTTTTTCCAGAGGCCCCTTCATGGCCTCGATCCGGACGGCGCTCGGAGGCTTCCCGAAGCCCAAGCGGGAGAAGGAGCTCGAGGCTTGGCCGAAGCAGAAGCGGCCTAGCCCAGTTTCACCTGGCACCTGTTGCTAACCCGAAAGGCTCGGGCGGGGGCCCCACTGGGACCCAGCGCAGACAAAGCGGCGGCGGCGCTTGGAGGGACAGAAGGTGCGTTTCTCTTCAAACGAGGAGAAGGGAGGGAGACAGTGCGGACAGACCGGGCAGCTTTGCTCCCCCCCCC